GGATATTGGGTTTGGGTGTCCTCACTTCCCAGACAGAGTACCGGGATTCCTGTCCATCTCTGTGGAAGACTTGGCACCTGGAACCTTCCCTCACCCCTTGTGTGTGAGGTGGGTTGAATGATGTCCGACCTCCACCCAAGTATGTCCAAGTTCTAACCCCTGGTACCTGTGAATGTGACCTTATTTGGAAACAGAACTTTTGCAAATGTAATTCACATCTCATCCCAGATTTAGGATGGGCCTTAAATGCAATGGCTGGTGTCCTGATAGAGAAAAAAGAGGAGAGCATGAGATGGGGACACAGGGAGGGAGGCAATCCAAAGGTAGAGGCAGGGGTGGAGAGGTCAGCTGCCGGCCAAGGGATGCCCAGGCTTGCCGCAGCCTCCAGACACCAAGAAGAGGCAGGAGCCTCCAGAAAGTTCCAACCTTGCCAAGACCTCGATTTCAAGCTATTGATCTCCAGAACTGTCAGATACATTTTGTTCTATGAAGTCACTCAGTTTGTGGCAATTTGTTGTGGCAGCCTGAGCAAAGATGCCAGGCATATTCAGGGTCCCTAGAGGGATGGGACTAGTAAGATAGGTACATATATAACAGGGAGTTTATTCAGGAGTATTGACTCACACGATCACAAGGGGAGGTCCCACGATAGGCCGTCTGCAAGCTGAGGAGCAAGAGAGCCAGTCCGAGTCCCCAAACCTCAGAAGTAGAGAAACTAACAGTGCAGTCTTCAGTCTGTGGCTGAAGGCCCGAGAGCCCCTGGCAAACCGCTGATGTAAGTCCAAGAGTCCAAACTTGGAGTCCAAAGTTCAAGGGCAGCAAGTATCAGCATGGGAGAAAGATGAGGCCGGAAGACTCAGCCAGTCCAGTCTTTCCACATTCTTCTGCCTGCTTTATTCTAGCTGGCTGGTAGCTGATTAGATGGTGCCCACCCAGACTGAGGGTGGGTCTGCCTCTCCCAGTCCACTGGCTCAAATGTTAATCTCCTTTGGCAACACCCTCATGGACACACCCAGAAACAATACTTTGCCTCCTTCCATCAGTCAAGCTGACACTCAGTATTAGCCATCACACCAGGCTTTTTCTGTCTGGTCTCCTGACTGGGGGCACCAGCAGCAGGCTGAGCACTGGAAGCTGTGCTCCTGGGGCAGCACTCCAGGGTCTCCGCCCAGAGCCCCTTCCCCTTCTCTACCAAAGGGACCAGCTTTGGGTTTCAGCCACTCCCTCCTCTAAGGGTCCTCAGAGGGTCCGATGAGGCTGCCGGAGTCTTATGTTGATTTTCCTTAGGAGAAGAGCAATGTTGCTCTCTTCAGAAAGTTCAACATCAAAGACTCTGGATGCCTTTCAATGGGTAAATCACCAGGTTGGACTCACCTTCGGTTTATGGTGTGGACTTAAGCAAAGCACATGCACTCGACCTGGCCAGGCTTTTCTGGGTCAGTGTGGAAGGTTCGTTCTCCACAGGCCTGGTGAGTGGAATTTGATAGAGAGGGCTCCTCAGCTTCTTATAGGATATCTGTGAGTCCGATTCCTGGCCTTGCTCCTATGGAAAGCCCAGGCTGAGAGGAGCTTTTCTCTCTTGCTAAGGCTTCTGGGAAACAAAATGAAATTCTTCAGAACATCTGACTCCCCCTTCCTCATCTGAAAAGTTGGTCTCCGTTATTAATGAAACCCCCTTCAGACTTCTGTGGTCTTAAAAATCTTACCAGCTTCCTCCTCTCCAGGACTCTGACCTTCCCAGCCAACAAAGACTGGCATCCTGGGTAGGCTCACCAAATGTCCTAGTTTTCCTGGGAGTGAAGCATTTCCTGGAATGTGTCATATTTGCTGCTAAGACTGGGAAAGTCTAAGTATGAATAAATAGGGATGGGTCTCTCTCTCTCTAGTCCTTGCAAAAATTGATATATTTGAGGACAAAGTCTTGTTCACATCTTCCTAAACATTACTAAAATATTATTTGGATTGAAAAGTAAAACTTAATTTCTTTGTATCTATAGCATTTTTTTTTTTTTTTGAGACAGTCTTCTCTGTCATCCAGGCTGGAGTGCAATGGCACGATCTAGGCCCACTGCAACCTCCACCTCCCGGGTTCAAGTCATTCTCCTGCCGCAGACTCACAAGTAGCGGGGGTTACAGGTGCGCACCACCACACCCACTGATTTTTGTATTTCTAGTAAAGGAGAGGTTTTGCTACATTGGCCAGGCTGGTCTTGAATACCGGGCCTCGGGTGACCCGCCCACCTCGGCTTCCCACAGTGCTGGGATTACAGGCGTGAGCTACTGCACCCAGCCTGTATCTATAGCTTTTAAAAGCACGTATGCTTCTGCTTTTTTTTTTTTTCTGATAATTTACATAGCAGTGTTTACAAGTTCTTATTTTTTATGTAGCTGCAGTTTAGTGATCGTTACAACAGTCCTGTCTGCGGCTGGGCTCTTCAGAAGTGGAATCTGAGAAAAATTGGGTAAAAGTGATTTATTTAAGGAATTCCCAGAAAAGAAAAGAAAAAAAAAAAAACCTAGGAGGGATGTGGAAATTCCATCTGTCACCACCTCCATCCCACAATTGCACAGAACATGCAATACACAAGGAGGCTCAGCTGTCCCCAAACACCAGGGAAGGCTCAGGGAGACATCTCACTCCAGGAAGTCTCACTTTTCAGTGGGACTGAAAAGACAAGACCAAGCAAGGCAAAGTTTCCGCAGAGGCTGTGTCTCAATCCCACAGGGATGCTCTTGAGAAAATACATTACAATGTAGAGATGCCCCCATCCAGGAGCAAGGAAGCTGGGGTACAGATGCCCCTGCACCCAGGAGTCATTGGCAACGAGCTATTCTTCGTGTGATGTAAACTCCCAGGAACCCCTGGCTCTGCATGCTTTGGCCAAGTAGGATCCAATAGCTTGAGGACAGTCTTTCAAAAAAGGAATTTGGATTCTGGTGCCTGAGCAGGAAAGCAGAGAGCAGGTGTGGGTGAAAATAGGCAGAGGATCCCATGGCCTGCTGGCAGCATCGTAGGTCTCTCCAACAGAAAAGCAGAGTCCTGGAGACTCTGTGGCCTGCTCAGCAAGGCTCTGCTCTCTGAACCTTCCCTGTGTCCATAACCTCATTAACATCCAAGGAGGCTCGGGTCCCTAGGATCCTGGATCTGTGGCATCTACAGGATCACTGGGTCCAAGTTGTCATGAGAACCTGCATTTCCATCTTGGCCCAGCCACAAGGCCCAACCTTTTGCCTCTTTTCCATTTCTTCTTTATCTACAGGCCATCTGCCCAAGACACGCCGTGTGCCCGTCATATGAACCCAGGTGACATGCAGGGGCCATTCAGGTGACAGGAATCAGTCCTTTACTCATTGCTTTTCAATTCTTCCCATCTGCTGTTCCTTTGGAATCCTTTATCAGCCAAGGATTCAGGTTAAACGCCATCTGAGTTTCTATCAAGTAACAACTCAAACTCTGACCAGTTTTCTATTGAGTCCTATTTTTTTAATCGACTTTTAGGAATCATTCACATACTCTGAATACTACATTGTCAGGTATATAAATTGCAAATATTTTCTACCAGTTAACTGATTTTTTTTTTTTTTTTTTTTTTTTTTTTTTTTTTTTTTTTTTTTGAGACGGAGTTTTGCTCTTGTTACCCAGGCTGGAGTGCAATGGCGCGATCTCGGCTCACCGCAACCTCCGCCTCCTGGGTTCAGGCAATTCTCCTGCCTCAGCCTCCTGAGTAGCTGGGATTACAGGCACGCACCACCATGCCCAGCTGATTTTTTTGTATTTTTAGTAGAGACGGGGTTTCACCATGTTGATCAAGATGGTCTCAATCTCTTGATCTCGTGATCCACCCGCCTTGGCCTCCCAAAGTGCTGGGATTACAAGCTTGAGCCACCGCGTCCGGCTTGATTTTTAAAATATATTCTCCTAGATTTTTTTCTAAATGTTTTACACATATTGCCTTTAACACTGCAATGCTTTCATGTCTGTAGAGTTGATTTTTTCTATAGGGTGTGAGATGAGAGTACAAAGATTTTTCCCACACGCTTCCCTCCAGCAGCATTTACTGGAAGTCTAGCTGGTCCTGTGATTTGTAATGCTGACTCTTCCACTCACCCTTCTGAATGTCCGTGGATTTCTAAACTCTTTGGTGTGTTCTTCTACGGTCTACTTTTCCATCTCCCTGCCAACCTTACCTTTTTTTTTTAAGACAAAGTCTTACTCTGGAGTGCAGTGGCTGAGGAGGACGAGGAGGAAGAGGAACTCTTGCTGTCTCGGGTGGCACAGGTGGAAGAAAACCCACGTGTAAGTGGCCCCACACAGTTCAATCCTATGTTGTTCAGGAGTCAACTGTATTTACTAGAGACGTCAGCATATTAAAACACTCACTTAATTTTGTGAGGATTAACAAAATAAGAGTGTTTGAAGAGGACAATACATACAGAATTTTGGACTGAGATCTGAGTTCAGTATTCCTGGTTCTGCCATCTCCTTCCTGCATTTTCTTAACGTCTCTGAGTCCCAGCTTCTCCATCTGTAAACTAGGGAAAGTAACTACATATCAGATTTGTATTAACAAAAATAGCATTTCTAAGGAAGCTTCTAGAGAGCCTTGCCTAACACTGATAATCAAGAATTGTGAGTTTCCTTTTATTATTTATTTATTTTCTGTTGGTTCTAATGCAATATGACTGATATGCTAGTTTCCTTTGTTTGTTTTGTGACAGGGCCTGCTTTGTGGCTCAAGCTGTTCTCAATTACCTGGGCTCCAGTGATCTTCCCACCTCAGCCTCCCAAAGTGCTGGGATGACAGGCCTGAGCCACTGCACTCAGCCCTAGTTTCCTTTTGTATCATAAGAAGCTAACCCTCCAAAACGGTCACTCTTTAGTATAATGTACACCACATCCTTTACAGATTATGACATGATATGGCCGTAGGAGGGAGGGTAATATGAAGGGCAGGTTTCAAGGATGGTTCAATCACAGACTCCACCTGGGCCATTCATCATTGAGAGCAAAGTTGTTTTTATTGTAATGAAATTTTAAAAGGCAGTTACAGTAATTACACATATACACAACTGACTTAATAACTGTTAGTCATAGAGAACATTCAAGAAATACAAATGATTTATCCACAGCACAGTTCACATCCATAAGAAGAAAGAGAAATGGTTAAGTGCTTAAACTGTCCACTGACACTTGCTTATGAAATCCTTTTCTTTTTTTCTTAAAGGAAACTGAGATTGTTAGATAAAGCAAGCTGTCCTGTTCCCACACACAGCCCCTGAAGCCTCCATTTTGCTACTTTCAAAGTCAGTGCATGCAGGCTCTGGCCCGTTGTCGACTATCACACCAGCCTTGGCCACACCTGCGCTGGGAAATGTGCCTGCACTGCTGTGTGGCACCTCCCTAAGCTGCGCCAGACTCCAGACAGTCAAGGAAAAGGTCAGTGTCCAAGTGGCTCGTGGCTCCTTAGTACAGGGGGTTTGGTGGGGAATGACCCCTGGGAAGCTAGGACACAGCCACTGAGGCCAAACCCCATTTTCTGGTAATATAAAGAATGTTTCTATTCTGACTTGTTATTGGCCAAAGCCGTTCGGCTGCTGGCTTCTTCCTGTTCATGTGGCAGGTCAGAATCGTGATGGAGCAAGGTGAGCCCAGAGAGGCGAGTGTTCACGTTCCCGCGTAGCTTACGTGCAGCCGGGAGGGAACAGACCCCCGTCCATTCCCTGGGGCTGGTTCCTCTCTTGGTTAAAGCTAGGAGGACAGCGATGTTTGCGCTTGTGGCTGATGTGGAGAACACACAGTCACATCAATGACACGGAAGAATCAAGCTCCCCGGCATGACTTCCTTAATGAGCAGGATCCCCTTACTCTCTGCAATATGCACATCACGGGAAATAACAACAGTGTTGGAGGGCCGAGCAGAATGTGGCTAATTGTGATGGCTCTGTCACTCCCTGAAGCCACAGCTAAAAACTGAGGGGAGTGATGCACAGGAAGTGTTCTAGAGCTGTCCTTGGCCATCCTGTCACAGTCACAGACCCAGTCCTGATGAAGCCTCGCTGTGGCTGCACCTGTGTCCTTGCTGACGGCTAGGCTTGTCACTGTCCAGCCCTCTTCCGTGGGAAGCTGTCTGCTTGCTTGGTCTAAGGAAAGCCACTTGAGAGTCTAGTAGTTCAGACGAGGTGTGAGCGAGGCAGTGAGTCACAGAGTGCCTCTGTGCAAACAAAGTCGTGAGTGCCTCTCCCTTTCCTAATTCAGCTTCGAGCCAGTCGGAGACATATCTGCTGGGCATGGGCTGACGGGCAAGCAGACCACAGGGGCCATGAGCACTCTGGCCTCCAAGGCTGGGCAGGACCGGCATGGGAGGCTCTTTTGTGAACCAGGATAAATAAGCCCTCTGGGGCTTTAATTCTTACTCCAGTTTGTCCCGAAAATCCTTGGTGAAAACCCTTGGGGCACGTGCGGTTCTCCCAGTCCTGGTCTTCTCCTCTCTCGCTCCTATTTTCTGATTGGCCCCATGATGGCTTTTACAGATCTCAAGCAAAAAGAGGGGTCAGAATGTACTCAGATTCCCTGTCTGTGCTCCTAGGACAGAGCTGGAAGGCAAGGAGGCTGGGCCTCCTTAGTCACAATGCCTCCCCATCAGGTCTGGCTTTCATTCATCTGTGAATCCTCACCCAAGGGCCAGGAACTGAGTTCACTGCACCCTGAACCCCTGTTTACGTGGGAGAAGTAGATATTGGGAGCAAGGATCCTCTCCCAATCCTGCTGCATCCCCTCAGTGCCCAGCACAGCTCTAGATACAGGGCAGGTTCACAGTCAATGTGCTCACCTGGGCCTGTGTCTGCACCTAAGAAAAGCCCCCAACTTTCCTCCAAGACACAGAAGGCAAGTACAAACATAAAACCACCAAAACTTCCACATTCACAAGCGAAAGGCTGTAAAAAGTCTGTTTTCATTTCACTGAGAAACACTTCTTTGACCCAAAACCGATTTTCGTGCCTTTTCTTGGGGAGGCGGGAAATAATTATGCCCATGGCTGCTGGCCCCAAGGGCAGGGCAGGCAGAGAAAGGCCCATTCTGGAGCTGGCCCTGGGAGGAGGTACAGTGTTTCAACCAACCACCTGCCATTTCCCCAGAAGCAAGAAAGCCTCTGAGGTTGAGTGAACATGACAGGCATGGACACTGGAGACCCAATCACCACTACAGACAGAAGGCTCTAGAAACTGCAAAGTCAGGGTTGCGTTAGGGTCTAGAACTGCAATCACGCACAGCTGGCTACCAGTCAAAGGCGTTTTACTGAGCAACGTTTAACTTTTGTAGGTGAAATCCCCCAGCAACACTGAGCACGTGGATCTCCCGGCCAGACAGGGCTGGGGGTTAATGCGGCACTTTCAACGGATCACAGCAAACGTTCTCCAGACTCCTTCGCGCGCGTTGTGCTCCCTCCACGCTCAGGTTCCTAGAACCAGTGCCGCTCTCCCTGGTCCTGCAGAATCTGGGGGCTGGGATGCAGGGGTTGTTTCTGAGCATTTGCCCTACCAAGCAACGTCTGCGAGGAGCTGCCTGAAGGACTCTGGGAGGGACACAAGGGCTTTCCTAGAGGGTGGGCCCCTCCACCTGCCCTGCGACAGCCATGATTCCTTTTCTACCCTATGGGAGTCAGTGGACTGATGGGCTGGTGATGAGGAACAGGGAGGAGGCATAATGGCCACGAAAGGGACGAGGGAGCCCTCGATAGTGTAAGGGGTGTGGGAGAGGGCTGCGCTGCTTCAAAACAGGGGGACGGATTCTTAAACTCTCCTCAAATCCAAGAGAAGCATAGCAAGCCAGGGATCACGGGCTCAGAGGTCAGCCAGGCAGAAGCTTCTAGAGTCAGCTCTTGTTCCTGTCTTGAGACCACCGGAGAAATTCAAGGCCAGTGGGTGTGTGGCAGAACCAGAACTGGAACCCAAGTCTTCTGCCCCTGAGACCTGGCCTCTGTGCCTCCCAGAGCTGCTATTCCTCCAGTCGGGCTGAAGACCAAAGGCTCAGGTGCTGGAGGACACTGTTTCATGGTACTCATGTGAAGAGGCCTGGGCATCCTGCCCTGCTGTCTACATCTGTACAGAAGGGCCAGGCCTCTGACCGCAAGGTGTGCTGTCCTGCAGGATCTGGGCAGGCACAAAGTCCTGCTCTCCCCAGTGGCGCAAGGATGAGCCATGCCTAGTGGAATCAGGGACACAGCTGTTCAGATCCAACCGGGAGAGGGGTGGCTGCTCCTCTGGGACTCCTGTGGGAGGAAGGGGCTGCTTCCTGTAAGAGGAGGAGCTTGAACCAAAGAACTGACCTATCCATGTGAGCATGTCCCTAGCTGTGTCTCCTGGTGACCCTGCTCAAGTGCCAGCCTGTCAGCCCAGCTCCCAGACCCTGGGCCGAGCATCTTCTGGTCACAGCCCGTGCTGCTGAGCTTGGGGACAGGGCCGCACATTTCAGCTCTCTAAATACTCTGGATTCTATACACTCAGGCTGGCCACACACGACAGACACAAGGCACAACACATCCATCAGCACAGCAAGTTCATGTCACACTGCACAAAGCACACACGTCCCATGGCACAATGGATGCACAGACAGACCAGTGGCGCTGAGGGGAGGGCAACTCTCTGTCTCTGTGCTTCTCGGCTCCAGCTGGCAGAACAAGGGCTGTGCACCCTGCTTGCCTGTTTTTCCAGCCTCCCCCCAGAGCCCCACGCACCTAGAAGAAGTGAAAAGCAAGAAGGAATCTGCTTTCAGCATCCTGGGCAGGCCTGTGGTGCTGCTTGGTCACTCTGGCACGGGCTGAACTTTTGTGGGTATAAATTGTCTATTAAGAGATTATTCACAACCAAATTTAACGACCCAATAGGCTCACCTCCTGAGCACACACAGACAAAATACAATAAATACGGCTGATCCCCAGATGTCTGCCAGGGTCCCTGGTCAGTGGCCGAGCAGCCCCGGCTGCAGGGGAGAGTGGAGCAATGACGGGCCTGGGGACACATCGTGGGGGAGATGGCTTCTGGTGGGGGTGCCTGCGGCAGGGAAAGCAGGGCAAGCAGGGCGAGGGTGGGCCTTGTTCACATGGGCGTCGACATCACAGTATGGGTGGCACTGGACAGCGGGAGACTTGCTCTGCCCGCAGCTACTCAGAAAACGGCGGAAACATGCCGAGGTCGGCAAAGTCTTCGATGTTATAGTTGCCAGTCCCCTGGGTGGGATCTCCCGGCATGGGCAGCATGTCCTGCAGAGGAGAGGCACAGAGAGCCACAGAGGGGTCAGCTCCTCGGACCCTGCACTGGCCATGTCCCAGGAGCCTCGCCTGCCCTCACCCTAATGGCCAACTCCAATGGGGCAGCCCGGGGGTCCTTCCCAGCCTCTGCGGGACGCTCTGCAGGGGTCTTCAAATGTCTGAGACCCTGGGAAACTGTCCCCTCCAGGGAGCTGTTGCGACAGCAGGTAAGCGGCAGCAGGATACACCCTTTGTCTATCTAAGCTTGAGTCAGGGACCCAGGGTAGACGAGAGCCCCACTGGTGGGGGGACCCCAGGCTGGCTCCAAGCAAGGTGCACGTAGCAGATAGCAGATGGCCAAAATGCAAGAGAAATGCAATGCAGAGCAGGGCGGAAGTAGCATGTGTGTGGAGGCCAGGGTGGCCTGTCTTCCGTGTGTACCTTAGTGCAGGGACAAATCACTGAATGCTTAGATTTCAGTTTCAACACGTCTTTCAAGTTCTCTGGGCCTCAGATGACCCATCCAGAACATGGGAATAGCACTGTTTCAGTTCCTTACAGCCAATTCCCCAGTGTGTGTTCTGTTGAATTCTCAGCCCATGTGATACTGTGTGAGGAAAGAATTCTGTGGACAAATAAGTCTGGGAAAGAAGGCGCACTCTGCCTACCTCCTAGAAATCCACAGTCCTCATTGGTGTAATAAAAGCTCGGGTAAGTCCTGCAATAAAGAAGCTTAACAACTTTGTTTAACCAGTGTTTCAGAAGCTTATTTGGCCAAGAATTCTTTTTGGCATTGTGACCATGAAGATCCGTGCCAGGAAATTCTGCCTTACGGGGTTGCTGTGGGGCTTCAGAATGGGCAAGGAATGAAGCCTTATAGAAGGAGGAAGGACGAGAGAAGGCTGCAGTCAGGGAGGCAGACGAAGGCCTGGCGGAGGTGTTCCCCTGCACATTCACAGAATGCTGCCCTGAGTGACATCTGGGTCCCAGGCCTTTGTCTGTGAAGCTGACCCTGGCAGCTTGGGATGAGGGTGGGCGGGGTCGATGGAGCAGTGATTCTTGAGGAGGGGTTGCAATTCCGGGAGTCTCAGAACCTCTCGGGTTCCTGCCCCCATTGTTGTTATGCAGGGCAGGCCTGGGGCATGAAGGAGGTGCCTGGGCTCCTGTTACAAGGACCTGGAGGGATGGGCCAAGCTCTTGGCCGAGGGGGAGTCAATGGGCTCAGACCTCCATTTGAAGCTTTCCAGTAGGAATGTCTCTGGCTGAAAGTTGAGCCAAGGAAACCCACAAGGGGCAGGGCCCTGCTCTGTGGGGCTGCAGTGGTGCCATCCCAGCCACACGGTCTGCCTTAGGCAGGAGAAATGGGCTAGAAATGTCTCAAATAATGGAGAGTTGCAAGGTGCCCAGGTATCCTCAACCAGGGACTGTTCCTGAGCTTAACCACAGAGAGCAGAGCCAGGGGAAGGCTGACACTGAGCCGGGGCCTGGGTGGGGATGTCCCCCCGATCCTGGGGGCCACGGTGGGGAGGAAGAGGGTCAGCCAGTGACAGGCAGCCAAGGCTGGAGGCACCTGCAGCTCTTAGGAGAGACCCCCTTCGGCCTTGGCTTTGTGCCTTTCCACTGGAGAGCTCTGGAGTCTGGGACAGGGAAGCGTCTCCAACTGCAGGCTCCCTCATTGTATGGCTTAGCTCACAGGCTACACGGGCCCCTTCTCCTTCCCGCATGCACCTGACGTTTCTGGCTGGGTAGGATGGGGACTTCTACTCCTGGACTTCCTCCAGCCCAGGCTGGGCCAGAACTCACGATGGCTATCGGGCAGGCGGTGGTGCGGCAGAGACCGAGGGGGAAAGGAAGCAGAGAGAAGGCGCCGGTACCTACGAGAAGGCGGTGCTGGCTCGATTTACCTGGAACACTTCAGTCTGACCGGGCTGCTGGTGGGAGTGCTGCTCACCGCTCTGCTGACCATGGTGCTGGCTTTGCCACTGCGACCAGACCTCCGAGGGCCGCCCTTGGAACTGCCCGCTGCTTTGTCCACTTTCAGCTGAAAGAGCCAACATACAGGACACTTCCTTTAAAAGGCATCCCGTGGTTCCGTGAGACCTAAGCATCACTGCAGCTGGAGGGCTCCCGCTTCTGAAAGGAAGACACGCGCCATCCTGAGCTGGTGGATTGTCTGCTCTCCTCATCTTTTTCACTGACTGGCAGAACATAACTGGAGTGGATCAAAGAGACACAGGAGCCCTTTGCCCAGTGGTGCAGGGACTTGGCCAGAGCCACCCTGATGAGGTGCTTTAAGCCCTGGAGCTCTCCTTGCACTTGGCGACTGTGCACAAAGGCCTCCTGCGGGCATCTGGGGGCAAGGGGCATGTCCGTGGGATGCAGAGGATGGGGAGAGGGAGGGTCTGCCCTCGGCAGCACGGTGCTGGCACGAGGAGGAAGACACGCCTGCCTCCTTGCTCCTGACTCCCTCTCGAAATGTCCACAGAATGCTTTGTAAAGGATATCTGGCCCCACCAAAGAGCCTCACCTTGGCATTCCCTGAGAACTGCCAACCTCAGCCTCTGCCTCCCGAGCCGCTCCTCAGAAGCCATACACGCGTTATATGAGGTCCTCCTACACAGCCATGCACCACAGACTTTTCCTGCCTAGCTCTTTGGCGGAGTGTTTTCTTAGCATCAGTTTGTTTGAGGGGGAAGAAGTTTGGGCACTGGTCAGACAAGATAAGATTCCTCTGTGGGAATCAGCAAATTCATTTATAAATGAGAGCCACTTTGCTTCTGTCTACAGTTTACACAAAGAAATTGCCAATGGAAGAAACAAAAAATAGGAAGCATGAGTAGAATTTTGTTTTACATGTTAGAAACAGAGTCTTCCTGGCTGAGCACAGTGGCTCAAGCCTGTAATCCCAGCACTTTGGGAGGCCGAGGTGGGTGGATCACGAGGTCAAGAGATTGAGACCATCCTGACAAGACGGTGAAACCCCGTCTCTACTAAAGATACACATACAAAAAATTAGCTGGGCATGGTGGCTCGTGCCTGTAGTCCCAGCTACCTGGGAGGCTGAGGCAGGAGAATTGCTTGAACCCAGGAGGCGGAGGTTGCAGTGAGCTGAGATCACGCCACTGCACTCCAGCCTGGCGCCTGGCAACAGAGCAAGACTCTGTCTCAAAGAAACAAACAAAAAAACCAGAATCTTCCTCCACTGCCCTGGCTGGAGTGCAGTGGGGCGATCACAGCTCACTGCAGCCTTGAACTCCTGAGCTCCAGCAATCCTCCAGCCTCAGCCTCCCAAGTAGCTGGGACTATAGGCTGGTGTCACAATGCCTGGCTAATTCAAAAACTTTTTTTTTTTTGTAGATACGGGGTCTGGTTATGCTGCCCAGGTTGCTCTCAAACTCCTGGCCTCATGCAGTCCTCCTGACCTGGCCTCCCAAGTGCTGGGATTGCATGAATGCCATTGTGCCTATCCAGTAAGTGGAATTTTGTGCAAAACATTTTTGAGATTCAACCAAAGAGGAGGCTTAAAAAAATACCTTCAAAGAGGATACCTTGAAGGAACATCAAAAATCTTAGAAATTATTTTTCTTGTTTCAAAACATTCAGTAGCATTTTGGAGACAATGGGCTCTCTATCAAGCTGTAGGTGGCAAGACAAGCCCCATCTTGTCCCATACTACTCTTTCCAACGGTCATGCTGGCCACAGGCAAGCCTCACACCCCACCCAACCCCAGACCTGGGCACTGCATTGATGTGAGGCCAGGTTAGGAAGTATTCAGGGAGAAGAATCTCCCTCTCTCTCTCTCTCTCTCTCTCTCACCCATCCGCCCATATATAATGGGTGAGACATAAAGGGCTTTTATAAAATACATAAGGTTTCTTTAACGCCTTACTATTGGTGCTTTTCAAACTCTGCATGATGACAACAGTTGGTAAAGAATTCTGTAAAATTACGGCAGGGTACAATTCCCTTCCTCAGCATAAGAGAGATTCAAACCTCCTGTGCACGCAGGATTCTGCCATAAAACAATTCATTCATCTGGCAATGTGAAACGCCTTTTCCTAATAATCCCACACAAGACTCCCAGGGCCGGGAGGAACTCTTTCATAGAATCGTAAACATTGGTCTCATTAACTGGCTCAGCAGAGGGCAGGCCGGGTCCATAACTGTGGCAAAGTTAAAACAGCAGCATCAGCAGCTGGAGCCATGAGGAAAGTCCCACCTGACAGGCACCTGCCCCGTCCTGGAAGCCTGCAGAGGCTGAGCACACAATGGGGCCTTTAGTGGGTCCATGTTGCTTGACGGCAGGGACCGTTGCTTGACTGGAGGGAAACAGTCACCTGTACTGAAAGAAGGACATGGCGGACTGCGGAAGTGTCCTAACACATTCAGGAGGTGACCGCCACGTAGGGTCACCCAGGATGCTGCTCTGATGGTGGTTTCCTGTGGGGGTTGCCCATCACAAATCAATGTCCTCAGCCCTTCCTCCTTAAGGCACACACCTGCCTCTTCTTCCCTTTGCCATCAGCATTTGCAGCCACACACATACACACACACACACACACACACACACACACACACACACACACACACACACACACAGCGTCTTCCCTTTTCCTTCCCTTCTCAACCCTGCACAATCTCTCTACTGCCAGGCCCCACCCAACAGCATTTGAAGAGTTTCCGTTTTCTCAATCTCTCTTGAGCATCCCACACCCTTGGTCATTCTTTTTGGAACTGCCTTGTTGGCTTCTAGGACTGAACTTGCTTTTGGTTCCGCTACTGCTTACACTGCTGTTTCTCCTGTGCCTCACGGTCCCTGCTGTAAGTGATCCTGTCCCTTGACGTGTGTTGAAAGCAAGGGTCTGAGTCAGGCCTTCTGTCTCATCAACAAGCAAGAAGAACAGAACCTCTTCGATTCTCATAAACTAACTCATTCATTTATTCATTTGGCAAATATTTCCTGAGCTGCTGCTCTGACGTGGGCTCCATGCTGGCACTGTACATACACTGGAGAATAAGATCGTTCCTCTCTTGATAAGCATGAAGCATGGCTGGGAAAGAGAACAAGCAGGTGATTCTGCACAGGGTGAGATCTGCTGCAGCAGAGTCGGCAGAACTAGAATAAAAACCCTTACGAGGGATACCTAACTAGCCGCGGCAAGCAGAAAAGGCTTTTGAGATCTCAGATGACACCAGAAGGGGAAGTAGTAATTGATCTGGTATAGAGCTTGGAGGTGAGGTTGAAAAGAACTCCAGAGAAAAGGGGCAGTCTGTTCAAAGACATGACATCAAAGAGGGCTTGTTTCATCCGGGCATCTACCGTTGGCTCAGGATGGAAGAGGAACAGAGTGAAATCAGGCAAGCTGTAAGAGGTGAGGCTGGAGTGTAAGCCAGGGGTCAGGTTCCACACCATCAGCGTGACTGAGTCTGGGGACAACAGAGAACCACTGAAGGTTTTTAAGCAGAAGCAGGATGCACACAGATGTGTTTACTTAGGAAGGACATGGTCCATGGGTAGGTGGACAAAAAGAGAGGGAAACAGACAGCCGAGAAAGGAATGGGGTAGACAAGAGGAGAGGGAAGCAGCCGGACAGGAGGAGGCCGCAGCAGCAATCCCTGCAGGAGGACTGATGTGGCTCAGAACACGGAACAAAAGCCAGCTGAAGAGCAGCGGGTGGATTTCAGATGTGATGGAGAAGGAGGTGCCTAGCATTGGTGACTGATTACTGGCTGTGCTGAGGGGTATGAATGGGAAGAGCTAGGGATGATAAACTCATGTTTCTGGTGGTATTGACAATCCCAGCTTCTCTCTCAAGCTTTGGCTCCATCCATCCCTGCCTAGAGGTGCGTCTAGGCAGTATGAAGACATCTGAACTCTCCGTGCCTACAGCCATCACCTCCCTGCCTACAGCCATCACCTCCGTGCCTACAGCCATCACCTCCCTGCCTACAGCCATCACCTCCCTGCCTACAGCCATCATTCCATGCCTACAGCCATCACCTCCCTGCCTACAGCCATCACCTCCATGCCTGCAGCCATCACCTCCCTGCCTGCAGCCATCATTCCATGCCTACAGCCATCACCTCCCTGCCTACAGCCATCATTCCGTGCCTACAGCCATCACCTCCATGCCTGCAGCCATCACCTCCCTGCCTGCAGCCATCATTCTGTGCCTACAGCCATCACCTCCCCGCCTACAGCCATCACCTCCCCGCCTACAGCCATCATTCCGTGCCTACAGCCATCACCTCCGTGCCTACAGCCATCACCTCCCAGCCTGCAGCCATCACCTCCCTGCCTACAGCCATCACCTCTGCACCTGCAGCCATCACCTCCGCGCCTGCGGCCATCACCTCCGTGCCTGCGGCCATCACCTCCGCGCCTGCGGCCATCACCTCCGTGCCTGCGGCCATCACCTCCGCGCCTGCGGCCATCACCTCCCTGCCTGCGGCCATCACCTCCATGCCTACGGCCATCACCTCCCTGCCTGCGGCCATCACCTCTGTGCCTACAGCCATCACCTCGCCTCCTCACACAGTCTGGAGGGAAGAACATAAGCACAGGCTCGTTCCCCTCACGCCTGCTTCATGTCTCATCAGTGCTGGGGTCTGCTGAGTCCCCACTCCTCGAAATACCATCTCTCTACCTCCCCTCTCCCCGCTTTCCTCTATTCTCACTGCCTCCACCAGTGCTGAGTCATGGCCACGCCCACTGCCCCCATAACCACGCATCTACTGGGGTCACCTCTCTCCAGCAGCAGTCCACCACATACAGACTGTTAGTGGATGATCACAGTCTATGTGGTAACACTCATTTTCCTTAGAGTTGGCATGGAGGTCCCTCTCGGTCTGGAGCTATTTGTAGCCTCATCTCCCACTTCACGTCTAACCCCAGCCCTTCTCGCCCTAGTCACATGACAGTATTTGCATGTCCCCCATGACACCATACACAGTTACATCTCCGTGCTCCTGCACATGTGTTCTCTCTGTCATGTGCATCCTTCCCCTTCTCTGTGCCTAGAGGATTCCAGTCAGGTTCA